TCCACCGTCACAGACGATGAGCTGCTCCAGGAAAATGCAGTCTGTGGAGCTGTTAGTGATGTGTGGGATCAAACCAAATAAAAGGAGGATTTCATGGCATTGCAGGTGAGTCAATAACAAGCTGGATGAGTTAGAGAGTAAATAATCAGCTTGGCCGAACCTCGGATCCTGATGACGATTGAAGTAGACTGGTTAGACTGGATAGACTGGGAGGCAATCTGATAGGCTCAGTTTGCTTCGTGGTACGTGCCTCTGGTTAAAGAGGAAAGAGGATGATATGGATCAGTAGTGACCTAGAGTAGATCAAAGCAAACATTATGAATTTCGAGATGAAATGACTGTAAATTGAAAAATAAAGCGGAGCTTTATGAGGTTGGCAGCTCCCTGCAGCCAAACGCTGTCAGTCAAAGGCGGTGACCCATTTCCTCGTGACAATGGCTAAGAGCTCTCTGGAGGAAACAGTGCAACTCCAAGCAGCTTCAACATCTTCAGCATCTTAGATGTTCCTTTGAACACTGTGTTTCAGTTTTAGGGGCTCACAATGGCCTCCCTGAGGTTCAGTCTGTTTGTCGATGTCTGCAGATGTGAGAGCACCTGTATGTACAGGTACGTCGAAAACAGAACAGTTGCTCCCAGAGTGGGGTACTCGTACTCTTGGGACTACACAAAAGAACATAGAGGGTACAAAAAACCTCAAACAAAAAAATGTATTTTAACCAGCTTTACTGATTACACATAATAGGCTGAGGCACCTTCACACATTATGAGTGTTAATAATATGGTGAAACCCTGACGGCTGCGGCTGTCTACAGCTCCCGACAACCTACTACAATATGCCGCAGCAGAGCTTTAGGCAGAGAGGGTCCAGAGCGTCCATACAGCTGAGCAGCCAGAACTACGAGTGTCAAAAACGCTGGGCAACCAGAACCCCGAGCATTAAGAGCGCCGAGCATCCAGAGCATGAGGAGCCAGAACGCTGAGCATAAAGAATGCTGAGCATCCAGAGCGCCGAGCGTCCAGAGAGCGCCGAGACCGAGGGTCCAGAGAGCCGAGCGTTTAGTTGATATTTAATGCAGTTTATGATATTTATGAAAAATCTTTCAGAATAAAATGTTGCCTTTATAAAAAAAACAGTTCCTGAATTGGTTCTGTATTGTTGTTGTTTTTTTTCAGTGTTAAACGTGAAACGGTCGTCCTTCTTTAGGGTTAAGCGGTTTTAGGTCCAGCCTGATGCTTCGGGCTTTAATTTCACATGAAAATATTCTGGTCGTCAAAAAAACGGGTGGAAGCAGATTATAAAATCCTAATAAAACACTTAGCTGAATTAAATAATGCTAACAAAATGTTTGAAGCTTATTCTCATCCTTATGAATCCTTATTCTGATTTTCTTGTGTTATTTTTCCTCTCCATGCTGCTAATCTGTTAATGTGAAGGAAGACTGACCTGTCAGCATTTCTGTTTC